GGCCAGCCCCTGACCACCACCACCTCTCTGTGGGATTGCTTGGTGGCCCCAGCAGGGCCACAGACCCCTCACCTGTGGGGGTGCAGGGCCACACCAGACGCGGATGAGGCTCCGGTTGCGCAGGCTCTCGTCACCTGTTGCGATGCCGGTGATCACCGACTTGTCCAGCTGCAACAACACACACGTTGGGGAGGGCCCTTGGGGGCTGACAGCACCCACAGCCTGGGGACACTAGGATACAACCACCATCAAAGGGACACCAGCGTTGGGGACATCACCACCAGCCTGGGGGCACCACCCTGAGGGACACCATGGCTGAAGAGACCTGGATGATGAGCTTGGTGAAGGGCTCTGTGATGATCTTCAGCAGGTCAGGGCCCTGCGGATGTTGAAGGTGGCCACAACCAGGTGGGTGACGTGGTGCAGGTACCCGCTCACCACCTCCAGCGGCAGCAGCACCAGCACTGACAGCCAGTTGAAGCAGTCATGCACCGTGGCACCAGCAAACGCCCTGCACGGAGGAGCCTGTCGCCATGGGGTGGCCCCCAGGGAGCAGCCCCCAGCACCCCCAGTCCCCTCTGCCCCCACCAGCTCTCACCGTTTGAACTCACTGCGGTCGCCAGCCTGCATGAGAGCCACAATCGTGTTGGTGACGGAGGTGCCGATGTTGGAGCCCATGATGATGGGGATGGCAGAGCGCACCTCCAGCACTGGGGACAGAGAAACCTGCTAGTCTCGCATGGCCCAGCTCAGGGTGACCCCACCTGCCACCCTGTTCCCCAGTCTCAGGTTCCCGGGAGCCCCGCGGGTGCACTCACGCCCCGAGGAGACCATGCTGACGATGATGGAGGTGGAGGTGGAGGAGCTCTGCACCAGTACGGTCCCCAGGATGCCCACCCCCAGCCCAGCCACTGGGTTGGAGAGGATGGCATTGTCCTTGAAGATGTCCCCAGCCACCTTGCCTGAAAAAGAACATGAGCAGCAGGGTGCTGGCACAGTGGGTGCCATCAGCCACCTGGGTATCCCCATCACCCTACCTCCGGCCAGCTGGAAGGCAGAGCTGAGCACATCCAGGGAGCACACGAAGAGGTACAGGAACCCAAACATCAGGGGCACCTTGAGAAGGGAGACACAGATGGACTGGACCCTGGCCCAGCACCCGAGCTCTGCGCGAGACAAGAGAGAGTGTTAAACGCCAGTCGTGGTGTGACCCTGGCTCCCCGGGCTCCCACAGCCCCACGCCGTCCCACGGGCATGGGGCTCATGCCCCCAGCTGTGCCACCACTCCCCAGGTCCCCTCCATCATCTCCCTCCCTGAGCGCCTTGTGCCAACCGCCCCCGTTGTCCCTTGGCTCTGCTCGTCGCACCCCAGTGAGCTGAGGGCCCCCCCCACCACACTGGGCATCTGGATGAGCACTTCCCCCGGGGGACAGCGGGGACGAGTTGCTGCCAGTCCCAAGGACAAAACTGGGGCTCTCCTGGCATGCCACAGTTCTGGCACCCTGAGCCCCCCTGGGTGCCTCTGGCAGGTCTCTGGGGTGCTCCCCAACCCTGGCACTGTGTCCCCACTGCCCGGGGGGTCTCACCTGGCTTCTGCAGCTCGTCCAGGGCCAGGCGGGGTCCCTGCCAGGGCAGTACGTCCAGCTCGTACCGCTCCCTGCCCTCGGCCAGGCGCCCCGGGGAGCTGGGGCAGGCGAAGGCA